TGATGAGAGAAAAACTTTCCTAATGCATCTTTATCTCAACCGCTTCTCCTGCGTTATCTCACAGTTTGTGAAAGGAGTAATGGCCAGACGCCTGATATCGTTCAGCTGTTGTCATTAACCTCAGACACGACTGAGGTTTCAAACATTACAATGAAAAATATTAGGAGAGAGTGTGAGAGAGTGTGTGTGTGTGTGTGTGTGTGTGGCCTTATCAGCAGCTCAGCTGAGGAATTTATTAAAAAGCCGACTTTCTGACAGCAGAGAAATGTCATTGTTTTCTTTTTCCTCGCTGCTCTGAGATTTCCCTCTTCTAATATATTTCACAAAACTCCCAGAGCCTCAAATACAGACTATATGAATTACAACTACTCTAAGTTGTCTTCATCACTTCTAGATATACGATGGGCTAATACCATAGATCAGCGCAGGCAGCTGTTTTTGTGAATATCTTTTCTATAGACTTGTTTTTACAAACAAATAAAAAGAGGCTACATGCTTTGTTGAATCCTTCAGAAGTCAATTAAAGTTCATGTTTCACTTTGATAAACTTCCACGAGGCGTTTTAAACTTCTTACCGCTGTGACCTTGGACTTGATGCCCTGCCAGAAGGACCTGGTGTCGTACTGGTTCTGGGTGGTCAGCGTGTTCCAGACCCGGATCATGCTGTCGCCGACGCCCAGCGCCAGACACCCTGCACCCACGGGGGAGAAGGTCAGGGTGTAGACGAAGCCGCCCAGGGTGGGAAGAGTCCAGCAGCAGTCCAGAGAGTCCAGGTCCCAGCATTTAATCTGGAGGATAAAGACTCAGGTCAGGGCTGTTAGCAGATGCACGACTCCTTCAATATGTCGGCTTGCTAAAAGCATTCCTAGCAACAAGATGAACCAGCTATTAGTCGGATGCTAAGCTAACCCAACTAGCTGCTGACTGTAGCTTCATATTTAGTAGACAGATATGAGAGTTGTACCAGTTTTCTCATTTGCATTTTCCTGCTGAGAGTTATATGAGAAGATTGACACAAATGAGGTGAACAAGTAAGTTTCCCAAAATGTCAGACTATTCCTTTAAGCTCTTCATTGATGGAGTTCATCGTTCTCAGCCTCATCAAGCTTGTTGCTAATCAACAGACAAAACAAGAGCAATAAAACTAGAAGAAGAGTTGATTTAATGTAAGTGTTCCTTCACCAAAATTGAGTCAATTCAGGCTTTTCCTGCTTTTATAGACCAGAGACTTCCTGTGTTGAAATAAAGGTCAAATATCTGCTGTTACTCAAAGGTATGAGTTTGTAAAAGAGCTGTGTAAGCGGGGCTGAGACTGCCGTGAATGTCAAGCAAGGACTGACTCATGATTTGGTATTTCAGCCCTAAAAGATATCTCTACCTGGCCCGGATGAAAGGTCATCAAAGCCTCGTCCAATAATAAATAAATATATATTATACAGCAAACCTACAAAAAAGTGAACTTTGCCTGGATGTGTCAGAACAAAGGTTGTTAGAAGCTCCTGCTGTGACGCACCTCTCGGTCCATGGAGGTGCTGATGAGCAGCTCTCTGTCGTCCTGCAGGTGAACTGAACTCATGTTGAAGACGATCCTGCTGTGGTTCTGACCGTCTGAAGACGTGCCCAACAGAGTCCACCGCTGCTTCCCCGACTTGGTGAGGTCCCACATCACCAGCTCGCCACTGAGGACGCACACAGACACAAACCCAAGAAGGCTCATAACTAATGTAGGCGTTTGATAAATAACGTCTCTGTAAAGTACTTCTGCACTGATAGCTCCTCTCAAAACACGATATATCATCAACACATATGTGCACAACAAATGACCAACGCTGCTGAAAGCCACTACAGAGCTCTGCTGTTATCGTGTTTCATCAGGTTTCCTCCGATGTTCTGATTAAAAAGACGCGCGTGTACCCGAAGCAGCTGGACACCAGTTGTGTCGGTCGTCCCTTCGGCCAGTGGACGCTGAGCCAGAGTCTCTCTTTAACTCCGGGGTCGACCGCAGAGCCTCTTTTCTTCAGATACGGCAGCTTCAGAGTCATCACACCTGCAGGTGGAGGACGACGAGAGGATCCATCTTACTTAAAAGGACGTCGGCAGTGAGTGTGATAAATGACGACTACTGACTGTCCTGCAACTAGAATCAATAGAGAATCTAATTTGGTTGAAACTTGGCTGAATCTCTCACCTTTGCCCTTCACTGTGCTCCAGATCCTCACCGTCTGGTCTTTGCTCCCAGAGGCCAGATAGCAGCCCTTCTCCTCCCCTGCACACGCTCCATTAGTTACTATAGGATAAAACCAACAACCGTGTCTTTGTCTTTGTCCCATCAAAATCTTGTCAGTTGTGTAAAAGAAACTGCACTAAACGAATGTGGGACTGGTGTTTGTATAAACTGACTGCTACCTTCACTGTCCTCGGGTCTGCTGCAGAGGGCGTCCTCGCCGGGGAGAGGCGACCACGCCAGCGAATGGATCTCATCGTCGTGTCCACGGAGACGCTGCATCACCTCGCCTTTCTTACTCACGTCGATCAGTACGATCATCCCGTCCTTGTACCTGCGACAGTGCAATGACAGCGTCGTCACAGTCATTGATGTTTCTATGCTTCTTTGGTTTAGCTGATAAATGTTGTGTGTGAGAGCTGAAACTAATTTTCAACAGCTGTGATTCGAGACAGACAGCGGAAACAGAGCGTCTGTCTGCAGACGTCAGATTTAAAAGATTTTTATTTGATAAATCTTTCAGAAGCAAATAAAAAGAAGTTTTGTGGATGCTATTTTTTTTTCTTTAAATGGGGGGCTCCAGAGATATGTTTGAATTTCTTTCTACATAAGTAAGTTTAAGTATTTCAGGGTTTTGTTGAGAAGAAAACCATTTTAAATCACATGTCCTCTGTGGTCTTCTTACCCGACGGCCACAGAGTTCCAGCTGTGAGGGGAGCAGGTGAGGCAGAAGATGGTCCTGGGCTCGGGAAAGAAGCTGGCAGTGTCTCCTGTGTTGTACCAGTGACAGACAACGATGCCCTTCTCATCCCCCGACACCACCAGGTTCTTATCCACCGGGGACCAGTGCACTGCTGAGACGGGGCTCTGCGAACGGACAAAGCAGCTGTAAGTGACATCATGTTCACACTGTACGACAAAATAATGAATTAGTCTGAATTCAGTGGAAGGTTTTCGTATCTTATGATGGTAAAAATCTCTCTAACTTTGACCACCTATAAAAACGCCCTTGAGACAGTCACTGAGTTTCTGCAGAAGAGCCAACTGTAGAAATGTGTTGAGCCGTTTGTCAGAGTGAAAACTGTCCTCTGCATCCAGTCGAGCTCGGATGGTTCATTTCTCCCCAGACTGGGTCAGCGGTCCAGTGTCTCCATGACAGCACAGAAATGTGAAACCAAAAATGTGTGACAGTGTCTGAACAGAAGAAAAAAAAAAAAAAAAAGCCTTTGCTCCAGAGCTGAGAAAGCTGCCTCCTGCTTACCTTCTGCTGCCGGTACAAAGCAGACAGCAGCCTGCAGGGGGCGCCAGCATGGTGTGTCGAAATGCAACACTGGCGATGAGACAGTCAGACACTCACCTGATGAGCTGCATGCTCCTTGATCAGCGTCTTGTTGTCCGAGTCCCAGAAGCGAATACTCCCATCGGCGGCGGCGCTGACACAGATGTGACTCTGTCCTGCGTGCTGACAGAATGAAAAGCCTGACACCAGGTCTTTATGGCCGACGAGCTCGCCTGAGACACACAGAGGTTTGGACGTCAGTGTCATCACAATGCAAAGACAGGAAAAAGGCCACAAGGTGCTGAAACATGAGTGGACATTTGCTCGGGAGGATCTAATGAAAGATGCTACTGAACTGCATTATGGGAATGGATCCTCTGTTTTTGGAGGCTCATGAAAGTGCATTAAACAAATTATGATTAATTAATTATTTAATCTAAAATATTACTATCACAGTTTCTCAGTGCCCAACATTTAACATCTACATACTGTTTGTTTTAACAAAGTTATCCAGTTTACAATGATGAAACACTTTAGAAAAGCTGAAACCAACAAATGGGTCAGTTTTGCTTGATAAATGAAGAAACGGATTCACTTAATTTGAAAATTTGTTAAACTGATTGATCATCTGATCTTTCCAGCTCAAATCACAAGGGGATTGTACAGTTTTAATGCTCAATCACCCATTAAAAAAAGTAAATGTCACTTGAACTTGGGTAGATTAAACATCAAAGATTTATTTGACCTTTCTGTGGCTGACGAGTTGGTTAATCAACTAATAATTTTCAGCACTGGCCTTTTCCTGTAACTTCTCCATCCTATAACTGGGATTTGTTTCTCTGACAGCACAGACTCCCAACATCAGCTTGATTTGGACAAAGACACGACTTCTACCGGTGTTTAACACATTTTCTGGGACTTAAACACAAACACCAGAGTGAGCCGCGTGTTGTGTGTGAAGTCCAGCAGTGACAGCAGACTCACCTACAACCCTGCAGGAGGATGCAGACACATCAATCAAATAAATGATGTTTTTGGCTCCGACGCCCAGTAAACCGCCGCTGTTGACATCACTGCAGCGCGAGCAGTACCAGTTGGGAGAGGCGGGAAGCGACCTTTCGTGCATGGCGCCTCGGATAGTTTAAATTTATTTATTTTTTCTCAAATAAAGTCTGAAAATCCAAAACCAAACTTCTCACATGGTACTCGCACTATCGTATCTACAACATTAACTACCGTACGATCGGCGCACTGTCGTAAATTTTGCCGGTGCCGACTACGGCATTGTAGTTGGGTCAAACCGTGCCGAGTTTGCTTTCTCAACCCACAATTACACACGTTAAAAAACACAGTATTACCAATAGATTTAACTACCAACGTGTTGTCAGACGTAATAGGTTATATACATCGTGAAGGCGGCAAATAACAAAGCAAACATCGCAGCTAACGCTGTAAACATAGCTAACGTAAAGCGAACACGAGAGTGTCGTAAAATAATGCAAGATGGCGACGGCAATGACAGGACGTGGTGAGAAAAATGCAGCCTGTTTAAACACAAATTTTCCATTAAATAACACTAATTACATCTGCTGACGATGTTTTAATGGACTGATACTTGTTTTCAGGTGTCGCTTTTATTAGGAATATATCTGGGGTGTTACACTCAAGGTAAGATATCAGTAGAGCATCATAGTTACAGCTGACTTACCTCTCGCTTTAGAAGGGCAAATTAGCTGGAAAGAATCGTTTGTTTATACTAGTAACTTAAATACTAACCATGTTACACGCAGTGATAACAACGACAATGTCCTTGGTAGTATTTACAAAGAGAAGGAGGGCTTGTGAATTACTAGCTAAAGGGACATTTTATTAGGTTAGTTTAAAGGATGAACATGTTGATTGGTTTAACAAATCAATTAAACGAATATACGTAATTTTTTAAAATTAAAATATCGACTAATAATGACGGATATGTACGTGTTTTCTCTTGTTTTACCCAATTAATACTGACCTTTATCTTTCTTACTAGAGGAAATGTCACTCAGCTCAGTCCTTCAGATTGTTTCACAGTTTTAACTGCCTTTGCTGGGAGCTGTTGTATGGCATGGTGATGAGGCTCAGTTCATAGTGTCAGCAGCATTACACATAGATAGATACATCTATAGAGCATGTCACACGATAATCAATCTTTAGGTATAGGCACAGGAAGCAGCATGTGCAGAGATACTGTATATTCTGCAGTTAGGAGTAGAGTTGTGAGTCTTTAATGCTGAATAGTTTGGTAGACAGAGACCTGTAGCACCTCCCAGAGGGCAGAGCCTGGAATAGATATTGTTAAAGATAAGATTAGTCACATTTGATTGTATCTGGTCTTTTGGTTTTTCTGTTGTTTTACAGTGATTCATATGATAGTTTGTGAGAATCTATGATTTTAGGATGGTCTACAGTCACATACGTTTCTTTTCATCTTTACTCTACATCTCTCTAGACTACAGGCTCTGGGTGGCAGTCCTCAGCAGCTCTCATGTCTCCACACCAGCACTTCACTGGAATCAAAACACTGGGAGAGGAGGAACAAAACGGTGTATCCACCTCAACTGTCAGAAGAGCCTCGCAGACCAGCAGTGAGTCTTTCTGAGTTGATATAAGGATTTACTGAGTGTCCTGCTTCCGACTTTGTTTGAATAGCTACCGCAGAGTTATAGAAGTACAGTGTATGTATGTTTATATAGAAGCTGAGGAGTCGTCTCTGTATGTTTAAACAGTGTAAAAGTTGATCCATGACTCCATCATCTCCATCATCTGATGACTTTTGTTTGTTTTTTTCCACAGGAGATCCACCACAGCAGGAGGCAGATTAAGTACAGCAAAGACAAGATGTGGTACCTTGCCAAAATGGTAAGACCTACAACCGAGACCTTTCTCATCAATATCAAATCCTAAAGCAGAATCACCAAGAATAGCATCAATCTGTATCACACTATCATATCTGTCCACTTAAGTTATCTTGCACCATTCACCTCCAAAAGCTGATGCTTGTTCAACAGACATTCCTTGTTATGTTACAAGTGAAAATAGTATTTCTCAGTAGTTTAGTAGTTTCTTAACATTGTCAGATTTCTGTGAACACTATTTACTATTTTGACATCATCTACTGTGCTTAAAAGATGAAAATAAATCTGGCATATGTGTGCCATGATTATCTGGCAGTTTGTGTACTTTGATGCATTACTGTACAAACCTTCTATATGTTACATGCTGTTTTCACATGGTTGTTTTGTTTATGGAGCCACTGTGGTCTGGGTGCTGCAGATACAAAGCAGCCTCCTCAGGCAGTGCAACACCCCCTGTCGTCCTAACAGCTGCGCAACAAACGCTCATTTTGTCCTTTCATCTCACCGTTTGTTCTCCGTCGCAGATTAAAGGGATGAGCATTGATGAGGCCGTTGCCCAGCTGGAGTTCAACGACAAGAAAGGGGCTAAGATCATGAAAGAGGTTCGTAGCTCCGAGCTGTCATTTACTCATCTATTATTTTTCATTTCATCCTCCATCCTGTCTTTGCAGTAGATGTGTATGGATGAATGTCACAGCTCTTTGTTTGTTTCAGGTCCTCCTTGAAGCTCAAGAGATGGCAGTCAAGAATCACAATGTAGAGTACAAGTCCAACCTGTATGTGGGTGAGTGTCTGTAGCACTGACAACTGCACAACACAAGCTGGATGGCCTAGAATGAACAAGTACAGCCTGCTCTATATTCATCATTCATTCAATCTTTATTAAGGACACAGCTCATGTCCAAAATAATCAGACTTTTACAAACTGTAATGGCAGTGGTTCTTCATTCCAGATGAGAAGTCCCAGCTTCTTGGGACTTTAAGCAGCAGCCTCATACTGTCATTATAAGCCACAGTGAGTGTCTGCATACTGCCACAGGTGGGGCAGTACAGTATACTGTATCATGGAGAACAGAAAGCTTTAAAGAGAGAGATCTTAACCGTCTCTGAGCAAACACTGTCAGTCCTGTGGTTTGTAGTTAAGGTGGAGGTTAATGTGCGTTGTTGCTACAGGTCTCTGCTGTAAGTCATTTTGCTCCATGTACTGGTGCCTGGGATTCGTTAACGTCTCAACATGAAGCAGTTGATAGAAAGTAGTTTTTGAGGCATCCTGCTAACTAACAAGAAAAAACAGACCAAGACCAAATTCCGTGTGTCTATACTGTATCCTGTATTTTAATGATGCAGTGTTTTTTAAATATGTAGACTTGAATGTTGAAAGATCTTCAATTTACAGTAATCTCATATTAGTCCTCACACGCGCAGCAGATTTCCTTGAGTTCAGATGCTGTGTGAGAGAGTGAGTCATGTCGAGTCGCAGCCGTAATTACAGATAAGCTCAGACTCACTTCCATTTTTATTTTGACCTGTCGTCAGTCAAAGGCACCTCCGCAAAGTAAATGAGTTGTAGTGTCCCTTATCGCTCTCTTTCTGTTTATCTGCAGCTGAGTCCTACTCCGGCAAAGGGAGGTACCTGAAGCGGATCCGTTACCACGGCCGCGGGATGTTTGGCATCATGGACAAAGTTTACTGTCACTACTTCGTCAAGCTGGTGGAGGGCTCGCCGCCCAAACCGGAGCAGAAGAAGACGGGCTTCGACCAGGCCAAAGAGTACGTCCAGAACCTCAAGAGCCGAACCATCATCCACAGCCTGTAGATCATGTGACCGAGTTTCACATGTGCTTTTTACTGTGTGTCTCTGTGTGTGTGTGTGTGTGTGTATGTGTCATTTGCCATTTGTAAATAAAAAATGACTGACTGGATAATCATACCTTCTAGCATTTGTATTTTTTTCATTGTTTTTTATATGTATGCATGTGATACTGACTGTGGCCCATCAGTGTTTAAGATGGGACAATTACTTCTGTCATTTTCTACAACAGATTATCTCACACGTTCAGAACTTTACACAGATCCTCTGCAGTAAAATACATGACCAAAGAAACACACCACATATCAGGTTAGTCAGTTCATTCACACTCATCTCATTCAACCAGAGCCCCCATAATCAGATGTTCTTCTCCTCCTTGCTGCCTTAATTGGAAGCAGCTGCTACCTGCACAGGTGTGCTGATGGCAGATGAAACTGGGTCAGGGGTTAAGTTACAGAATTAATGAAACTGTGGTAAGGTTTTGGGATTTATTTGAGTGACTGACCTGGGATATTGTGTTTCTGTTAATAAGTTATACGGGTTTAACGTGAACACTGACGCTGGAGTTGCATATTGTGAGAAATGGATGGTAATTGATGTAATTAGATTTTGGTTGGTCCAGGGGGAGGGGCTTAGCAGTTGTAACCCTCTGGCCGACAAGTCTCTCCAGCAGCAGTCCAAGACTCTGAGGGTGACAGCTGTAGAGAACTTTGGTTGATCTGTTTTACCGTGGACGTCCATGTTTTTCTTCTCCTCATTATAAAAGCACGGCACTTCAATCTACTTTTGTGACTCAAGCCATCCTGTTATTTTTGTGACAGTCCAGCTCTGACACAACCCCCCCCCCAAGTGTGTGTGTGTCAGCCTGTCACTGCTTCACTGTGATGGGTGTGGTAGTTGGGTTGGGGTGACAGCAGTCACCACAAACTCCTCCCCTGAGTCCAGACCTGTCAGCCTGGCTGTTCTTCATGCCTTCACTTCCACCAGCCTGCGGACGCTCACAGAGCCGTCGTCTCAAAATGCAGGAAACAATGAGCTGGAAGTGATTGGCTTCGTTGGGAGGCTTCGGTCTGGAGGAAAGAGGAAGTTTATGTTTTAAAAATTGGATTTCATAGGCACCAGCAGCTGTGGAAGTCATTTTGATAATGTTTAACTCCACTTCATTATTCTTTTAATGTTTTCCTGTGTCTGAGAAACGACATAATTTACTTTTAATTTGTTGCTTTTTTTCTGCCTCTTCTTTTGTTGCTTCTGTGTTTTTGTATTTAAAACTCCCATAGAATGTAGTAATGTTTGCATCTTTTATGCCTTCATCTATTTATTATTAGCATTTCTCAGCCTCCTACTAATCATTATTACCTGTTGTAATGAACTGAATTTAGAAAACAGAAAACCCTTTCGGAGAACAAACCTGGGGATTTGTATTTTCCAAAGGTCGCAGTGTGTCAGTGTTGTTAAGGCTCAGAGCTCTGGTCTCTGCTGTTCCTAATTGGCCTTTAACTTTCCTCTTCCTGATGTGAGTGATCCGGCTCGTGTGTCCTCCCGTCACCACGTCTGCCCCAAAAGCCCTCGTCAGCTCCGAGCAGCTCGCAGTGTATTTTCAAATAAAATGCCATATGCTGGCCCCAATTTCAGCAGAGAAGTGCCCTCAATCTCAGGTTGGAGTCCGACTCGGTCCCACAGCACAACGCAGCACCAACTTCTGAAAAGAGCAAAAGGCTTCATCTTCCTCCTTTTTTTTTTTTTTTTCTTCTTCTTCACGAGCAAACTTCCTCTTTTTTCCCTCTCTGAACACAAACATGAAAACATTTTAGTAAGATATTTATTATTTGCAAAACAATTATTTACAAGTTCCTGCCACTAGCAGCAGCAGTTCTGGTTTTACGCTGCCACAAACACAAACAGCCATTTGCGAGTGGGAAGCCGGTGAGGGATCATATTATTATCAGGTCCTCTTCACAGCGGGATGGGGAAGCCAAAACTATAATTGACCAGATGATACACTTGGAAATATTTGCCATAATGTATAAACATGGGCCAACCAAATGTCCAGTTAGTTTTGACATATTTAAAAAATAGTGAGAGAGTAAAAAATAACTGACTGGAAAACAGACGGACATGAAGAAAAAAAGACAAGAACCACATTGAAAAAGATCATGATACAAAAAATGATTGATTATATGCTGACTAATGTAATAAAATAAAAAAAAGAAAGAAAGAAAAATAAAGAAAAAACTGAAAAGAATTGTTAACTAAATTAGCATATAATAAATAAACCGCCTGAGACTCAAACCCAATTTCACCAGATGAAAGTCTTACCCGGGATTCACTCACCTCACCTTATCATCTCTGCGAGCTTTGCTTCTGACTTCCTGAAGCGTTTCTGGCAGAAAACCTTCATAAAATACGTTTATAGCCAAGAGATGGAACTGTAACGTTATATAACTGGCTAACACACGTTATATGTACCTTGTGTTAGTGCATGGATTAATTATAAATCACCTAGAGGGAAACATGAGGGCTTTTCGTCAGATTGAGACTGGGGTAGTGGTGCACTTCACCCTCTTGTGGCTGAAATCAGTATTACAAAAGCAAACAGAAAATCCTGATGGAAAAAAAAACGGTGAACTTGCTTGTCTTCTGTTGGGGCCACTAATTAACCAAATGAAACCCTTTAAACAAATGGAATTAAACATTGTTTTGATCGTTACAACAGATAGTACCTACAGCCCAAGTATGGAGTCTGTCTGGGGTTTTTCTCAAGGTGGAGTAAAAAGCTTTGGTGAAAATCCATGGCATGATTGGTTAGTGTTCCTTTAAATACACTGAGACTAATTGGAAGATTGAATGGATCCATGAGGTCAGTAAACTGAGCAGTGATGCATTCAAGAGCACTGAGGAAAAAAAAAACAACAACAAAATACTGCACTGACTTTTGTTTTCCTTCTCTCCAACTATAATCTTGAAAAGACAAACAAAGACAGACACACACACACACACACACACACACACACACACACACACACACACACACACACACACACACGCACGTACACACACAACTTGAGTGTGATGTCTCCACCAATTAGTCTGCATTGTACAGATGACTGCCTCCGCCCGGTGGCTACAGACGCAGTTACACACTGAGATTGAAGTGAAAAATGTTTGGCAAAGCTTCGGCCAATAAACCTGAGAGGTTCGGGTTCCGTCTGGGCTTTCTGTCAGATAAGAGCAAGTTTCTGTGAGTCATGTTGGTGAGGGGGCAATACCGCTGATTAATGGATGTTAAGATACCGTGCCATTTGCGTGTGTGTGAGGGAGTGAACGAAAATGTGTGTGTAGTATATTATCGAAGGACCATACCGGTGTTTTTTGCGTGATTTAGCTCGTTTACTTTAAGCTGATCATTTTGATAATTGTGCTCCATGGTTCTATAAAGATTAACAGTCCCAACTCAAGGTCCACTTACCAGCTTTTTACTTGACTTTCAAACATACAGCAGCAGCTGTTGCTCAGATGTCATAGAGAGGGGAAAAAAATACTGTAAGTGTCCCTTTAGTTGGGATTCTTTAGTCAAACAACTGTTTCCAAGCTCAAGAATTAACTCAACTTTTCATGGAATAATTGAACATTTGAAGGAAATGTGAGTCAGACGAGGGACTGACATCACTCTCATGTCATAGTAGTCATAGTATGAACACACTCATCACACAGCAAGGTGCACATACAAGCCAGCATTCCTTTATCCGGTACATGAGTGTGTCCTGGTCACGGCACGTCCCACCTCCCTGGCTCCATTCCAGCCAGTGACATTTACTGCATGTCGTAGCCCTCTCTCTCTCTCTCTCTCTCTCTCCTTGTTTCCTGTCTGTTTTTTCACCATCAGCTGTCCGATAAAGGCAAAAATGACCCAAAAAAAAAAAACAGATTTTCCTCGTATATCCACCACACACACTCATACTGTAAGTGCATGTGGGAATAACACATCATTTTCACAATCCAAATGTGTTTTGTCACGAGTCACTGGTGTGGTGAAACATTTATTTTCCTCCACTGTGGTTTCATGAGAAGTAACATAAATAAATGATCAAAAATGAGACACTAAGGTTCTATCCAGCTCTGTTTGCCCCACCTCCCTCCCTCCCTCCCTTCCTCCACCACCACCACTACCACCACCACCCCACCGCAGGGATGCCATGGTGGTATTCAGTGGTTACATGAAGTGAATTATGTATCATCTCTTTCCAAGCATGAGCTCATCCGCCAACAAGACAAGAAAAAAACGTGCTACCAGTGCTGGGAATTAACTGCTACAAAGATTCAAATCCTCTGGACTGTATTATTCATGACGGGTGAAACTGTGCATTGAAAATATTCTGTAGACAAGCGCACGCTACACTGCACAACCCGGGCCACCACACACACACACACACACACACACACACACACACACACACACACACACACACACACACGTACATACACACACCTGGATAAAACAAATGGATGTCATGATGCTTCCTTTCATTTGTTTTTAATGTCGCTTGTCGGTCATTGTGCCGCGCGGCCCAGAGGAGGCTCAGATTGAGAAACAAATAGAAATCAGAAGCCAGTTGTGCAGGGAGTGCCTCGGGGTGTTATTCATTTCCTTTTAACTTTCCCATTTTATGTTTTTTTTTCTCTCTCTCTCTCTCTCTCTCTCTCCCTCCCTGTCTCTCTGTGGTGGTGGTGTGCAGAGAACGACAGCCACAAAATGGTGTTAGCTCCCAAATGAAAGCTTCGGCACAAACACCACAGAGCAGGCTGCCTGCTGGCCGGCGCTGGATGCTTTGCCCTTGAGAAACAAATCCAGACACCAAACACTTTGTTGGCTCTCTGGACAGCCTCCAATAAAGCGACATTCACCTCCTTTTCCACCAGAAAAAGCTCACAGTCTTTATCTGCCTGAAAAGGGACGCATCTGTTTTTAAAAGAAAAGAGAGGAAGGAAGAAGCAGAAATAAAAGTATGTGAGCTCAATATCTTTAGTTTTTATTGGAAACAACAACAGCGAGGTTTAGAAAAAGAAATATCATCACACTCTTCAGTGTAAGAGATACTCCACCTCACTG